ATTTTTATCCCATACATTTTTGCCGACCAAACAACGCGTTTGCCTGTCTAATCTGCTTGCCTCATTTGCCTCGCTCGTTTACTCGCCTCGCTCGTCTGCTGCTGCAAATGAGTGCCTCGCTCGCAACGACGCCCTCGCGAGGGCAGAGCTAATGAGGCCCTCGTTTGCTTGCCGCTCTACTCTTGCGCTGCCCTCGTTTGCTTACTCGCTCGCTGGCTGCTCAGCGCGTGCGCTCGTACTTAACGAGTGCTCATTTGCAAACAGCCTCGCGTGTTGCTCGTGTGTTGCGCTAGCTCAGTGCAAACTAACGAGCGAGCGAGGGGCTAAAATGAGGCAAATCCGAACCCTGCATGTGCATGTCATTGGAGGTAATCGAATAAATGTAAAATTTCTTGCCATTGCATTACAGTAATGCAATGGTTAAGCGATAATTGTCGTGAAGCGACTTGTATTGCGTTACTCCATTGATACAAAAATAAGTCCTTTCCAAAAAATTAAAAATTTTTGCTGGGTTGCCTTTCTCTTTATCTCTGTTGTTATCCATATATGCACATACTTATCACTACCATTATTTTTGTATTTTTCTGCATCCTTGTCTTTGCCTTTGTCTCTCCCCGCCCAGTGACGTTTAACGCAGCCGTTGATATGACATGATTACCATTTTATACGAGCAATTTTTCTTGAGCAATGTTGAATCGCCTAGAAAATCGCCTCATGTAAATGTAGCTTTATACACAACATCCAGACTGGCGCTTGTTTTTGCATATTTAACTTCAAAAATTTTGTTTGGAATAAGACGTTCTTCCAGCAAGCGAGCAATATGAAGATTTACAATACATTTTTTCATGTTAATTCATATATTGAATCTTATAAACATATCTGTACCTTCCTACGCAAGAGTTTTGATAAATCAAACAACAACAGTACGAGTCGTAATCAATAAATACTTAACCAACTTCAAGAATATATAATGCGAATACAATGAAAGCAAAAAAATGCAAAATAAACCGAAAAGCAAGGCAAATCTGCAGCAAACATAAAAGACGATGTAAAGACTAAGGGCCGGTTACTCAATGTCTGGTTAACACTAATCTGCGGTTAAACATCGTTATGGTTTGGTAAATAATAATAAATATTTCTTTGAAGCATATTTCTACAAGTTCCATTCAATTTAACGTATGGTTCATAAAAGGATGCTATTAAGCTCTGCTAATGCAGATAAGCTTTCTTTCAACACATGGTTTAGTCATAGTTACCAAATCTTAGTTGAGGCAACCACGATTTGGTTTGAGATCGGAACATATTCATGCTTGTGAGCCACCCCTAAAGAATGCTGAACGCTCTCTGAGCACATGTGTGTTTCACATACGAAGAGCGCCATTATGCCGACCATTGCATAAAAACGATTCAATGAATGAGACTGTGTGCGTGGAAATCATTTAGCCCTATCATAGAATCCATCGTAGAGAATCTACGAATTCGGATGTCCGCTACGAATACGAAAAAATTGCTATCACTGAATCCGAGTGAACTCGAAAACAGTGCTGCCAAATTAAAATTTCGAAGTACGAAGTTTCGCAATCAGCTGGCTGAAAGTAAACAAATAAATTTAATGGCTCGATGGCTCAGTCCACATTTTGCTGCGTTTTAAAAGACGTATTGGCGTTGTTACAAACTCATATTTAGCCACATTGGATAAACCTTAACTTAAGTGATGACGAAAAACGGCAAGCAAAGATGGACTTTTACAAAAAAACAGGGTTTCCTGGAGTAGCGTTGTGTGTGGACGGGACTCATATTAAAATAATTTCTCCCACTGAAGACAAATTCCTGTATTATAACCGAAAAGGCTACTACAGCATCAATGCCATGATAGTAAGTTTGATAGACAAGTTATGCATCAAGGTTTAATTAAATTATTTGCAGATTTGCGATAACAAAATGAAAATCCGCTATGTGAATGCGCAGTACCCAGGAAGCAATCACGATTCCCATATAATGAACGTCAGCAATGCGAGATGTTTCTTTGAGAGGAACTACTTAAATGGTGAACATAACACCTGGATTTTGGGTAGGTAAACAAAATTTAAGTGAAAATTTATAAAAATCGTTTTTTCAGGTTCAGGGGATGCTGGATACTCCTTGGAACCATGGTTGATGACACCTTTCCGTTCACCTCCGCCTGGTAGCTCCGAAACAACAACAATTACAACAAGATACACGCCAAAGCTAGAAATATTATAGAAAGAACAATTGGTCTTTTAAAAAATAGATTTAGATGTCTTCTAGGCGCTCGTGAACTTCATTACGAGCCTTCGAAGGTATGTCAAATCGCAAATGTTGCAGCAGCGTTGCACAACATTTGCATTCATTATCGCGTGGTTGATGATGTTTCAGAAAACTTGGAACCATATTATGAGAACGAAAATAGTGAGCCTTCATCATCCACTTTTAATGATGCAGCTTCAGAGATTAGACAATCTATAACGAGAACACTAATAAGTATACGAAGATAAGACTGGTTTTAACTAATATTAAACATGAAATAAAAGATTGTCAAAAATTAATTTAAATAAAATTTTGCTATTGTTTATTTTTGGAAAATGCTTCTATTTTTTTTTCTTCTATATTTAATATTTGTTGTTTTATTTGGTTTTTTGCCGCGGTTAAATTTTCCATGGCTCTGTTATGCCTGCGAATTTCTTCGAGCTCTTCTTTTTTCAGCTCGTAAACCTTTTCAGTGGCTCTACCCAACCGTCGAACACCAGAGCAAAGCTCATCCAGCTTTGTGTCCTGCTGGGTGAAATGTTGGAGGCTCTTTTCGTAAAAGTCTTTCTGCAGGACCAACTGCTCTTTTAGCAAATCTGCTGCAGAGGTATCGGGACGTTTCTGTGCCGCAGGAGCACGCCTTGGAAGTGAGGGAGAGGGAGCAGAGGCCATTGACACGTCAGCAACAGCTTCAGCATTTTCTCCGCCCACTGGCTCAGGTAATCCAACGCTCACCGTGTTTTTTATGCCATGCGTGCTCGTCTCTAAAGCAGTGAGCCGGATTACCTCTTCTTCCATTTCATTAAAACTATGTTGCCTGTTTCGACCACCACCAGTTGCCAACTGTTCTCTTTTGTTGTCTGCAAGTTTTCTTTTGATATATGCCTTCCAGTCTAACGATACCTGAAGAAAAGTATATTTAGTTAGCGAACAATGCATGCATTTTTTTTAACTTTTTTCCAACTCGATACATCTTTAGTTGGCGGACCGAGACTATTTAGCTCCTTAGCCACATTCTCCCAAAATTCCATAACTTCTTCCTTCGAAATCTTTGAAAATCCTTGCGCAATTTCAGGTCTCTGCTGCATTTGCTCAAGCAAAGCTGCGTATTGCTGCCTGGTTGTTACCACTTTGGACCTTATAAAAACAAATAAAAACATATTTCCACACAATTTAATTCAATTTTTTTTTATTAATTTAAAGTTTACATTTTTCAGTAATTTTAAAAATTTTTTCCTTTTAATAATATAATTTTGCGCGCCTTTCGCTTCTTCTCCGACAGCAACAACTCGTCGTAGAAAAATTGTACGAAACTCTACGATTTGACGTTTCGAGTGGATTCTGTGAGTGCAACCCTACGAATTTCGAATTTACGTCGTAGCAATTCGAATTGCGTGATAGCTATTTCGGAACATCTCCGAAAATACAGCCTACGATGGATTCTATGATAGGGCTGATTACTCCGCTACCGCTGGTCGTATATAGGTGAAACACGCATGTGGTCACAGAGCGCTCAGTAAGCTATGGCGTGTCGATCACTGCGCTAGATAGAGAAAGAAAAGTGTGTGCTATGACATGCCCAGACTTGTTTGTCTCAGTTTCAGTTTTGCTATCGCCGCGGGTTGTTTTGGTGTGCGCATAGTTATTTAAAAATATAAAGTTTGTTGCCAACCGGGGTTTCTCAGTGGATATATAATTCATGTTAATTATAATTTGAAAGTTTCTATTTAGCCAAGAAAATAGGAAAGCAGTATACTTAAACCAGCACTTCTAGCAGCAGATATTGACCTGGGTATTCGCACGACTGTTCCTGTTTTATCGTTAATTTTTAGAAAATTCTTGCCATCATATTCATATGTATTATATACACTAGTAACTATTTATGTAAATATGTATGTATTTTTTTTGCTTAATAAATGCAAATAAAAGAAGAAAGTAGACACAACAACCATCGAGTAATTTTTTATGGGTTGGTATCGAAATTCTGGTACTACAAAATTCGGAACACGAAATTCCGCTTAACAAAATTCTGCTTTTTTAAATTCCGTTTTTGACAATTCTGCTTTTCAAAATACTGACTTACAAAATTCTGTTTTAAAATATAATGTAAACAATGTTCAATTGGACATGTCATTAATTTTAAAAGTGCGCACTTTTTAAAGTAATGACATGTCCTATTTAACATTGTTTACATTTTATTTTAATACAGAATTTTGATTTTCAGTATTTTTAATTAGTTTGAAAAAACTTTTATTACTGGAAATAATCATAACGCGAAATATTCTCCTGAGTTTTGGTCAGTGCATGACAGCATGCTTCGGAAAAAGAAACCTTTTCTAGAACGTAAAACCGTGGCGAAGGGTGGCATCGCCGCAAAAAGTAGTTGTTGTAGGAAGCAATTCCCAATTTCTATAATCTTGTATTGAATTTACAAGAACTTATTTTTGCAAAATCTCAAATTTCCAGAAACACAGAAAAACAAGAAATTAAAAAGAAGCAGGTAATAAAAACTATTAAAAACGAAATTACTTATGTAAGTCGGAAGATGGAATTTTTACGGATCAAACCAAAAATTTAATATTTCTCGTGGTGAATACAAACATCAGAATTTTACCTAGCTTATGGGTAAAATTTTGACAGCTTCTAAATATATACATATATACATACATAATAGAGGGCTGCATGAATGCATTCAAAACGGCTTANGATAACAAGAAATTAAAAAGAAGCAGGTAATAAAAACTATTAAAAACGAAATTACTTATGTAAGTCGGAAGATGGAATTTTTACGGATCAAACCAAAAATTTAATATTTCTCGTGGTGAATACAAACATCAGAATTTTACCTAGCTTATGGGTAAAATTTTGACAGCTTCTAAATATATACATATATACATACATAATAGAGGGCTGCATGAATGCATTCAAAACGGCTTATGAGTTATTCATATACAAAACGAATGAATGATTTTGGCTTCAAATTTTTTGAATTTGAGTGAATAGCTGTTTTGATATTCGTGTCGACATTACAATATTCAAAGAAGGTGAAAATAAATTGAATTGAAATAAATAACAATTTTTTGTATGAATATCCAAAATTTTTTTTCTATGCACATATGTACAAACATACATATGTATGCATGTATGTATTGCTGTGCTCCGATTACATACGAAAAAACTTGTTTGTAGAAAAAAACTTTTACCGAAATGAGNATCCAAAATTTTTTTTCTATGCACATATGTACAAACATACATATGTATGCATGTATGTATTGCTGTGCTCCGATTACATACGAAAAAACTTGTTTGTAGAAAAAAACTTTTACCGAAATGAGTTTGAATGGTTTGAATGTTTTCCATTCATTCATTCACATTCTTTCATTTGAAGGTAGAAATTTTAAAACAAAATGTATATTAATAACTTCCAAACGCTGAGTGTTTTGTATGTGGAGTAAAATATTCAAATCTACTGTACTCTGTTTGGCTAGAAGCAAGGTACATTGAACAGGTAGTATCAGTAGAGCAGCTGATTTGATTTATTTTCAAATTATTTGGTCTCGAAAATGTCAAATATTTTTAATTTTTTCTCACAAAAATTCTGAATTGTTAAAATCCATTTGCATGTGAAACCTTTTTCCATACAAAACAAGCGATTGAATAGCAGCTTTTGGAACGTTCGCCCAACTCAGCAGCACAACCGCTGATTACTGGCCCTTGTAAAGGATGGATCAATGCTTCGAGAAGCAAACAAATTTACTAGGAAAGAAAGTTGCATCAATTTTTATTTTTTCCAATTTCAATTTTTTATTTTTTATACTTTTTTGTATTTCACATGGCACGCTTTGATTTAGAAGAAAAAATTCAGAACAGTTTTTGACACTTTCGATACCAGAAGCAACAACAAAATACACGCAAATGTTGTTTTTGCTCTACTGATACTACCTGTTTAATGTGCCTTGGCTAGAAGTTTGAATAAATTCATGCAGCCCTCTAATACATAATAGGTTTGTTATACACTCTACTTGTAGAAAAACTTGAGCAAAGTTCAAACTGTTAGCGTATATCAAAGAAACTCTAAAACTTACTTATGGAACGCCTATGTATGTGCAACTCGAAGTGACTTCGAGTAGCTTGTGGAACAAACCTAATATTGTTTGGCGGTAATAAAGAGTCAAAATCAAAATGAAAGCTGAAAAAAGCATAAATAGGCGTACGTTACTTGCAAGTTATAAAGTAGATATCAATTTTACAAATTCCGCAAATACAAAAATAAAGCATTCGCACGAGCGTTTGTTTGGTTTTTCAATTGTCAAAATTTTACTTTGCATTTGGCACAGCAAAATTCAATTTATTCGTACACCATAGTAAATTTTTCCAACCCGTCTCACTAAGGAGAAAAATTACCGATTGGCACACAGCCAAAGATGCGAATATGGCAAATTTTGTCAGATTTTATCTACCACAAAATCAGAATTTTGAAAGACGAAAGTGCGAAAAGTAGAATTTTGTGAGACAGAATTTCAAAATGCGGAACTTTCAAAAGCAGAATTTTGAAAAAGAAGATTTAGAAAAAGCAGAATTAAAGAAATACAGAATTTTGCATAATTTTTTAACATTTTGAAGAATTTTGCGATGTAGAATTTTGTAATGCAGCGTAATGAGACGCTCCCAAAATAGTATGTACTGAAGTAGACAAATCACAAAATAAAAAATCAGTAAAACTGCATTTCTCGATAAGAAAACTACGTCATAAATGAAACAATGCATTTTAAACAATGTAGACTGAGTATAATACACATATTTATTTCATTCCAGGCAAGAATTATTCTGTATGTATATGATACATTTCCTGAAAAGAATAATTTGATAAAACAAGACGATGCGGGCCTGCTTTTGCAAATCTGTCAATAGCTTCTTCAGCCACGACTTCAATGTCCTGATGTATGTAACAATGCCAAACCGATCAATCTTTCTTGTAGCATAGTCGTCCTGAGCCCGTTTTTCATACGTAAGTAAAAGTGTCGAATATACAAAATTTATCAAACGAAATTAAAAGTTTTCGGATGTGGAAAACATTTTCATATTTTGTCGTTTTTGAAAATGTCAACATTTTCGTAATTCTTGAAGATTCAAAAAATTTTTGGACGTTGATGTTTCCAAAAATTTTAAGTTCTCAAACTTTGTTATATCAATACAAAATTTTGGAAATGTACAGAAAAGTGGAAAATTTTTGGATTTTTTCAAAAATGTTAATACATTTTAGAATTCAAAGAAATTTGTAGGTTTTATACACAAGTACCATGAACATGAGAATTTCTAGACAATTTGTGATGTTTCCTTTTTACATTTTAGGACGGATTTTAGAATAAATAGAATTCTAAAAATTTTGGAAAATATAAAAATTTCTAAAATCTCAATAATTTTGTACATTTCAAAATATTCTCATCTTCCTAAATTTCTAGAATCTCCCGAATTTCGATAGCTTGTGAAATTTTGGTAATTATCCTAAAAATAAGAAATCTCAAGAAATTTAATGTCATAAAATTCAAAATTTTGGAATTTTTGTTATTTTCTAAACCTGCGAAAATATTCAAACTTGCTGTGACTTTCAACTATGTAAAATAGTACAAATAATAGTACAAAAAAATCAAATAGTTTGTACGAAAAACTATCATAAATTCATGAATATGGAATAGATACTTACCATCGCAGACCGCAGCGGCTCTTTTTTGCAGGAATTGTTTCTCAATAATAAGCTTCCACAGTACAACACAAATCACAAAATGACAAAACACTGAATAAGTTACAGAAGCAGCAGCACCCGCGGAATAAACACATACACATGTTATTACTATGTACCATGGTGGATATTATTACACCATGACTATGTACACTATTGAATTTCAGTTGACAATATTGTAAATTGAAATGAAATAGTGAAAGTCGCTTCGTCACTGCAATACCCCTGCAGGGAAAGCTACCAGTTGTGAACCAGAATGCTACCAGTTTGCGTTTCAGCCCAACTAGTTCACATTGTATCCTTTTTCAATGTTAGCGACTGGTATTTTTAACAAGACGGTGTCATAGG